CAAACATTTTACTAGAAAAGCATGGATGGATGTCAATCTGCTGCGCAGGACACACCTTGCAGTTGGTGATCAATCATGCCCTGAAACAAACTCAGATTACAAAAACACTAGGAGCAGCTAGGTGTCTCGTGGAGCACTTCAAAAGAAGTGAACTGGCATCGAGCAAACTGAAAACCAAACAGCAACAGATGGGGACCCCGGAGCATAAACTTATCCAAAATGTCTCGACTAGATGGAATAGCACCTTTTACATGGTGACTCGTCTGCTGGAGCAGAGATGGCCACTGACTGCAACACTGTCTGACCCAACAGTAACACAGAGTGGGAAACAATACCTCGACATGAAACCAGATCAGTGGGTCCTGCTAGAGGAACTTCAGGCCTTTGACTGCGCCACCGTCTTCCTGAGTGGTGAGAGTTATGTGACAGTATCTGCCCTGCCTCCATTGGTCAGAGGGCTTTTAAAGTCCACTCAGGTCAGCTATGACACAGCTCCTGTGCAGGCTTTTCAGGCAATTGCTTCAGAGGAGACCAATGCACGCTGGTCTAAAGAAGTCACAGTCACAGGTGATAATCCAAGCAGACAGATCATTGCAGCTGCATTAGACCCACAGTTTAGGAAACTGAAATTCCTCACACCTGAGGAAAGGTTTAGTGTTCAAAATAAAGTTCAAGCTTTGGCACTTCAGTCCATGCAGGGCAGTCTGAGGAAACATCATGCCAGTGAGAAAAACGCAGCCAATTTCCTCACCTGAGAGAATTGTTTCAGCTATTGATTCACTGCTTGGGTTTGACTCCTCAACAGACAGCGACAGTGAGAATAAAGAACAGGAATCATACAACTAAGCCATCACAAATGAGGTAACATTTATTGAATAAGAATAGTGCTTATTTATTAACATATGAAATAAATTATGAAACGCCAGACTCATTTAAAAGGCTAATTTTCAACTGTTGTCCCATGGCAGGTGTTGATGTACTTTGGAGAGCAGCCTCTCCCAAAGTCAGACAGTCCCCTTACTTGGTGGAAGTTAAATGAGGCAAAATATCCATCACTTGCATCACTAGCCAAGTCATTCTTGTGCATTCCAGCTACTTCTACACCCTCTGAGCGTCTCTTCTCAGCAGCTGGAAACATCGCCTCAAAGAAGAGAGCCAGCCTCACACCTGAACATGTTGACATGCTCACGTTCCTGCACTGCAATTTAAAGAAATTATAATCTATTGTTCAGTCACTTGGGCTGGAAGGTTGATTCGTTACATTAAGTTTATTTGTACTTTTGTACTTTGGATGGGCTATTTGCTTTATTTACTTTGATGGACATACCAGTCACTTTAAAGAAAGCCATCCTTTAGTTATTTATAACCTGCAAGGCAGGTGAAATGCTACTATTTTGAGTTATTTATTTATACATCAAAGACTACTTGCACTTTTGTTTGCACAGAAGTTTGTATTATTTAGTTTATTTCCTTTTCATTGTGATCCAAAAAATATACTTGTGCCAAACTCATGTTTCATGTGCCATTATTCTAATTTGCTTTTGCTGGTTGAAATTCACAGGTGTGCATGCTTAAGCAGGCGAGATAAAACGGGGATCAAAAATAGTATGCCAAATAATCATGATTAATCGACTAATCGAAAAAATAATCAATAGATTAGTCAACATAAAAAATAATCGTTAGTTGCAGCCCTATTAGGAACTTGCAGATCTGCTTGGCTGTAGCCAGGTCAATGGCATTAAAATGGACTATGTGGTCATCTGCACCCCACAAATGAGGTGCTGAAAACATAATGTTAGGTATCCCACTGGGCACAGTAGGGTTCCTAGATGGTCGGATGCGATGTGTGTTCCAGACATTTCATATCTCATTTAACTCCTCCAGAAAAAATGCAGAGAGATGCAGGTTAAACATTACTCTTAAAGAGAGAGAGCGAGAGAGAGAAAGAAAGACACAGACAGAGAGCGAGAGAGACAGTGGAGAACTAAACAGTATTTCACGTTAAATATACATTTTACATATGCGTACACATTACATGGATTACAGGTCAAAGTTTATTCTCAAGTTATATTTTCTAAACAAATTCCCCTTGCTTGCAACTGCACAGGTGAGTATTTCAAGGTATAAGGGTATATAAGGGTATATGTAGCACACTTCAATGAACCACAGTGCGCTTGGAGTTGTATGTTGTTTTACTTTTTTCTGCAAACATAAACATATAGCAGCATTGTAAATCATACGCTCCTCTCTGACCTTCATCAGAACAACACAATGATTGACCTGCGCTGACCAAGAGCCACATACTCCCTCTTGTGGTGAAACTTTGGAATTACAATGCCTAAATCTTTTCCTTTACATTAGTTGTAAATAATAAATAAACAAATATGTGAGGGAGGGGGGGTCCTTTTATGCCTCTGTCCCACATATACATTTGGTTAACAAATATTGGAATTAATTAATGAATTTAACGTAATGCTAAAGGCAAAGATACATACAGATATACACATGTGTAAGGACCCAGTTCTCTTGCAATCAGATAGATAGGTGGATCTACTTTACATATCCTATGTAATATTCTTCTTCCTTTAAATGATACAGGAAGTGAATGAATGGGATTCCAACTAAACAAAACAAACAAACAATAAAAGACAGGCTAGGATTAATATAGTAGGCTACATCAATCAATCAATACTTACTTCCTGCAAGTCCGAAAATTGTTGACGACAAAGTCTGTATTCTCCAAGGATTCTGATAAGATGCCTCTGGCTTAAAATGAAACCATATAAGGCTATGCTAAGTATTTCTTTATGACGCATACCTAAATTGAAGAAAAAAAAGATGAGACTGTCTCGATCCATTACAATAGGCCTGCATTCACTGCTACTGCTTTTCTGTACTATCTGCAAGATAGTAAAGGAAGGAAAATTCCTCTTTACTCCTTAAAATTCCTCACTTATTACAATTCGCACGTGCAAGATAAAAAATAAAAAAAAACATACAGTACAACGTACAGTAGGTTTCAAAAACAAGATTTTATTATTTGAAGATACAGTGTGCCCTTCTTATACCAGTCTCATTAAAAATACATGTTTTCTTCATTTTCAACAGTTGTAGCTGCTAACAGCAAACTTAGATGGCTGACGGTAGAATTAGATTAGCTAATGTGAGCTAGCCAGCAGAAGAAAATGTTGGACTGATTTTGAGTTTATGGAAGTGTATTGCATTCACGTGGGAAAATAAAAAATCTGCTCTACGTTTTTCGGAATTAGATATAACTATCTCAGAATTATGAGTCATGCTGGCTACACACAAGACCATTTTTCAAATCTAAACTGGGACCACAGAGATAAGGAAAAAAATGGATCATCAAAATATGTAGCGCCACTGAGACACAAGTCTCAAGATCTTTCATGGATGAAAATGAGAAAGGGACACCTATCAGCTTGGCAGTGAAGTCTGAATCCATTTCACTATTTGCCCATGCTTTGTGGATTCCATGCTTTCTTTTTCTCTCATTTGCACAGGTTTAGCAAAAGCAGTGAAATCCTTCTGTGGTTCTGGCCCTAATTAAGAACAATGTATGGCTTATTCTCTACTGTTGATGCACGGGGGCAGCCATCTTGGATTTTGAGCTTGGGATACTGAAGTTCCTCTGAGTTTTAGATGACGTATCCTTAACCACATACTAACTAGTGATGTGTAGTTCATGAACGAGTTATTCAAAACAAACGAATCATCTGGGTGAACGAAATGAACTGAATCACTTACTGAAAAGAGTCGTTCATTTCTCAACTTCAGTTGCGCTCTCCTCTCTCCCGTCTCGTGTCTCTCTCTCTAGACCGTAAGAGTCGCTCAAAGCCCTCCCTCCCTCCTCTCCTCAGTCAGTACAGTGTGTGTGTGTGACTGAGGCTGGTGACTCGCAGTCTCACTCATTCACGTTCTGATTCACAGGCGGAGCTGCAGAGAAGTACTGAAGGATTCGGTGAACGAATCCTTTGAACGAATCCTTTGAACGAATCCCTTTACTGAACTGATTCTACTGATTCAGTACACTGAAAAGAACAGGGTTACCTTTATTTGTATGCTGCCTATACTCCACTCTGCTTCCTGCCAGCCACGCCCACCTCATCAGCCAACTCAACTCACCTGTGCACACAGCTGCTTCCCATCTGCAATCAAGTCAGTATAAAAGCCTCTTCTGACACTGCCAGAAGACTTTCCAGCACTTTCCCTTGGACTACCTGTTGCAGACCCTGTTTGACTCTTACCAGCCAGCCTTGTTTTTGTCACTCAGACCCCGACCACGAGTTCTGTTGGCCTCTCCCCTGGGCTTTTTGGCTTTCCTCACATCAGCTCCTACAGTGTGAGTTTTACCGTCTAGCTCTGATCTGATTTCTGTTGTTCAAAAACTCGCTGTCCGACACTGTGTGGATCTCTGGATTGTATCCGCTGGCTCTGCAACTTGCCTTCCACTTTTCCCGACTTAGTTCAGGAGCTTTAACAGCTCTTGCAGATGTACCTGCTGAATTTATCCCTAAAAAAACATTATCATTGTGGCTTCCTGTGTGCTGCACATGGATTCCAACACCACCCATGACAGTTACTTTTAAGTGTGTAATTGACTATGAATCAATAAGCAGAGTGTTTTGCCAGGGTTAAGAAATATGAGACAGCTTTCTGACTCGCCAAATATGAATTAGATTACATGGATCTGTTGTGTTTACTGGGGAAGTGATCAATCTTTTATCAAATAAAAACCCTTACAGGGTGCAAATGATTGTTGGCTCAGGTAAACCATCAAGTAAACAGAGACTGACAGAAATATTCAAAGTTTAATAAAATGTATTGATTCTCATTAAACAATCCAAAAGCTTTTGCCGGTAATGACCTTCACTCTGCATGGAAAGAAAATGGTGATTAATTGACTCAAAGAAAACACAGTATACACGATTATCAATTCATTGTCTGAGTCGGGCCGTTAATATTGCTACACACAGAGCTCAAACTGTACTGTTCTGATAGGCTGCTTACTCTGTTTCCTGCTCTGACATCACTCTTGCACACAACGACCGAACACACACAGGTCTCTGTTCCCTCACTCACTCCACAACACCTCCACTACGCAGGTTACATATATTTGTATTTGCTATGCCTATAGGCCTCCACGAGTTTGTGGCTTCTGCATTCTTAATCCGTGCATTGGTTAGGGACAGATACAGTGTACATAGACAAAGTGAAAACAGCCATCCAAAGCAAGTATCATAGTGTATGTAGCTGATGCTAATTTGCTAGATCCAGCCCTAGAAGGGCTTTGATGTGAATAAAAGAAAACAGTTCAGTTAAAAAGGGAAAAGAAGGGGTTTTAATTGTTACCTGTAGCACAGGGGTGCGCATACTCAAATTCAGCGCTGTAACCTAAAAGGAAAAGTAAGCATGACAAAGTTTGAACAGATACAGTTGACGCTCCAACAGCAAATGTGTTTCATGTAGAAGACTTGATGTTGGACTTAAATCCGATCATATACTATAAAAAAATGAAAAACTGTTGTGTACAGTGTGTACCACAGCGCCCTAATGAACACAGTGACACCTGATCAGAGGCAGTATGATTCATGCTAGAATACATCAAAAGAATGGTGTTATATGTTAATTTCTATGAATGGAGACATTCTTCCTGGTTAGTTATTACATCATGCACCATATTAATACAACTCCTGCATTATGTGATGACCATCGCAATTTGTAATCGATTACAAAATGGGACAGACGATTACAAAATGTAATGTTACAAGAATTCATATTTAAAGGCAGTTTCATCTATTCACACTGAGTGAAATCTGTCATCAAAGCTTATCATAGTTATTGACAGAAAGTATCCCTGTCATTGTTTTTTTCCCCCAGCCCCACCTGAATGGACAGCGGGACTCAGTGTGTGAGACTCACTTGGCTGGTAGTAGTCGTAGATCTTCACCAAAGCTGGCTTCAGGTTCCACACTGGAAGCTTACATTGGAGAATTAGAAAGTGGCGCGTGATTTTACTCTTACGTAACTGTAGGAAGAAAAACAGATCAGTAACACATCTGGATCGGTGAGCATCTAGTCACGTTCCTCTGTGTGTTGTTTATCTTACCTCCCGTATATAAACAAGAATACGATCTCCAGTATATTCAAGACGTTCCACCACCTTAGAGTCTCTGATCTGTGAGGAGACGACATTTTACACTAACGGGACACTCGGGGAGGGAATTACCAGTTATCTACAGCCTAGACAACATCCTGTATTCTGATCTTTTTTTCCTAACTGCCCCTTTTTTCTGAACCACTTTACAACTAGGATCTAGTCATGTCTCTTTTTGAAGTCTCCTTTAGTGCTTATCTGGCACATTTTCACATCAATGATGAATGCATTTATTTGAATACTTTTACAAACACGTGGACTTTAAGGGCTGTTCTGTTCCTGCACCCTGCTGAATATGACACTCTTCATAAATACGACGTGGTTAAATCAGTTTCACTTGCATTTCGGTTAACAGCCTCCTGTAGGTAGTCTGTTTTTTAATGAGGTAGAAAAATCAAATTGAGAGTGCAGAATAATATCGGCTGAACAAAATGATTAAAGCCACTGCATTAGAAGGTTCATATGTGAATCCACATAACGGAGGAATTTAGTTTGATGTTCTTTGGCGTCACAGAAAGTCTCTGTGTGCAACTGGAAGTATATACAGTACAGTACACAAACAGATGGCATATATACTTGGAGGGTAATAAATGTAGGCTACTATGCAACAGGCCTAGATATAGCCGGTCAAGAAAATGTTCCATGAATATTCAAGACTTCTGGGCTCCACTTTTCAGGGTCAGAAACACTCCTGATGATTATTGTATCTACTGTTTAGCTTTGACGAATTTGCAAACTACTCACTTCTCTAAAGCAACACCACCTCCTCCAAATAATACTAATGTATTTTGGCTGCCGAAACCCAATTTGGTTTCAACTAATAGCTGAATTCATACTGCTAAATATGCAGTCGAGAAAGTAAAAAGTGATGTCAGGGCGTCCTTGATAAACGCAGTAGAGCATTAAGTAAACATTCAAGCTTCCGACTCAAAGGAGGAAGTCAGAGGGGATGGCCTCTGTGAGTTTATGGTAATGGCTAGTATCACCATCATACTAACATCAATAGCTGACAGAAAAGTTCAGGTTAAAGTTGCTGTAATTACTCACCATCCTTAAAGACTCGGCATCTGGGGTAAATCCAGAGAGTAGTTTGATTTCCATTATCATCATGTTTGTCATGTTGTCGCTTCCATAATGTCTGCAATTAACTCAAAGTTAGTTTCTCCAAAATCTACAGCCAGGGAGGACACTTTCACTGTAAGTGCAGTGCAGTTGTTGTTGATTACTTACACAGACTTCAGCGTCAGACTGAGGCTGCGAGATGTGCTCGTGCAGTCAGCATGTGGTTCAGCCGCCACACTGAGAAAAGAGGCTGGTGGAGGAGGCGGGATGTTGTACTGAAGAGAAATCTAGAAAAAAAAAAAAAGTTTGATGATTTTAATGTTAATCTTTTTGATGTGTTTTGGGGCCATTTTTGCTTTTATTGGATAAGACAGTTGAGGAGAGAGTGGAGGATGACATGCAGTAAAGGGCCGGGATTAGATTTGAATCCAATGGCAATGTGACGAGGGCTAAAGCCTCTGTACATGAGGCATGTGACATAACCACTAGGCTACTGGATCAGCAATCAGCCTACCTTAGTTTATTCAACTGCAATTAAAATCGTTTTAAGTATTTAAGCAAAGTATTTTTTTCCAAAAGGTGTCTTGCAAAGACAGGGTTATCTGTAACCATTTTCACACATGCACTTCAGAAAATGTCTTGGGAATTTCAGGAGGACTGCCGCTGAAAACCTCCTGATCTGGTTGTTCACACATGCACCTCACAGCAGGAGACTATCCTTGGGGCGGCTGTTCCTCAGTTGGTATAGTCGGTCGTCTCTCAACCGGAAGTTGCTCCTGCGGCAACATGTCCGATGTGTCCTTGGGCAAGACTTAACCCCGAATTGCTCCCGCTACTCTGTAGATGGCGTATGAATGGGATTAGTTACTTCTGATGGCCACTTTTTGTGTGTGAATGGGTAGGTGTGACATGCGGTGTAAAAGCGCTTTGAGCAGTCAGATGAGTAGAGAAAGCTTGTATCAATCAAAGGGAACCCCCTCCCACTCACTCCAGGTGACCTCTTGAGCAGAAGTGTGAGTGAAAAATTCAGCTGTCTTCATTCACGCATGCAGCTCACTCTGAAGTGAATAAGAGTGACATTCTCCAATCACCTGCACTGAAGCACAGGCAGTTCCCTTCACCTCCAGGCTGTACTTTCCTGTCATGTCCTTCAGAGCCTCCTCTTGGTAGAGCAGTTTGTTGTGAGGGTTTACATCAAACGTCAGCTGGCCACTGGGAGCCTGAACTGTCACAGTGCTGGAACCTTCAGGATTGAACACTTTAGTGGAGTACAGAGACAGAGCCTGCAGAGCCACCACGGTGTCCTTCAACACACAAAAGACAAATCATTATGAGTCATTAAAGACAGTGGCCATTCTAGAGTCTACTGGGGCCCCAGGCAAGAAATAATGAGAGGCCCTATAACCTGCATTTATCACCATTACGTCTGCCATTGTCCCGATGCTTACTCCACTTCCTCTTTTTTCCTGTTTACTCTCCTATAGATGCATAATTCCTTTGAATGTTTTAGGTTGACTTTCATTGACAAACTTTGGGTTTCACGCCAATAATGCATGCAAGGAGAGTGAGTGCTGTCAGATGGGGCCCCTGAGGGAGGTTTCCTACCTGTCATGGCAAAATTAGCATATTTTCTGTCGTTGCTGTTAAAAGTTTGTAAGCCCCGACTGGTCTGGGGCCCCAAGCAGTTGCCTGCATAGCCTGTTAACAAGCAGCGCCTCTGATTTTAAGATTATGTCAGGAAACCCAATCTTAGTTTCAATCATATAAAACCTGCAGTTTGTGTTGTTCAAAACTTTTGAATAGGATTAGCTAAAAAACACTGATCCCAGGTGAGGGATGGATTCAGACAGGGTTACAGGAGCAACATGTCTTAAAACTTGTGCTGTTCAAATAAAACAGCATTTTCACACTGATGTTGATACTTTGTTTTTAACGAAGTAACTGAATCACTACCATGACATAGACGATGACGTATAAATAAGGGCTTGAACAAAACATGTTTTGTTACCATAAAATATTTCACCAAATAGTTGTTAATATCAATTACAAAATAATTTCCCAACATGATCACTTCCTGTGCAGTGAGTTGAGGCCAGCGCTGTAAAGGTCCCCTCAGGAAAACAAACTCTTAAAATCCTTCATTCCTTCTGCCATCAGGCTCTTAAACCTTGATAGTCATTTGGACTTTTAAAACTTAATTGCATTATTTTATCTTTGCCCTCGTGTTTAACCACAAGTCATTTATACTTTTGGTCATTATGGCTGTAGCCTGAACATACATTCTCTGAATATAGTCAAAAAATGTGAAGTGCAGTGAATCCTCAAATGTCCTTATTTATCTTCCATTGTTTTAAACATTTAACTGTGTATTGTTATCTTTGCCCGGCTCATGTGTGTGCAATTGTGGGGCCACACAATGGTACTAGTGTGCACTGTGGTCCATTCACTGATTTATTTGTTGTCCCTGACGAACTCCTGTCTGAAGTTTGTTTGAATACATGTACGTACACTGTAAAAAATGTCCTTTGCGATACATACAATTGTCTGAATCTAAAATATTTAATTTAAAGCTCCTTTTCAGAAATTTTCAGTTTGTGTGGATGTTGTCGATGGCAGCGCGAGCGCATCGCGAGGCCCAGCGTCTCTCTCAGTTTTGCAATTTTGCAGTAGTTTTCCTGTTCATCTCAGGTCTGTTCATACAGAACAGCTCCACCTTAACATCCTACACCCGACAGGAACTTTTGGATATTGGACTACACCTCCCTGACGATCTAATCACCAATCTTTGACTCATCCCTGAGATCGCCAAAACACCCGAGGCTACGCACTCTACCTGGCAGAGCGGACGTGGTCGCAGGCGGCGTCGAGACCATAAACAAAGGCGGAGGGATAAGAGCTAAGCTAAAGCTAACACCGCACCGTCTCCCGTTAACCAACATTTTCGTCGTCTTGGTGAACAAAATGGACGAGTTACGACTCCGCATCATCCACAGCAAGAGACTTATGGACTGTAATGTCATGATCCTCACGGAAACATGGCTAAACAACGGAGTGCCGGACGATGCTCTCAAGCTAGCCGGTCGCCACACACTCCGGGCAGACAGAACAGCAGAGGACTCTGGTAAGACCAGAGGAGGAGGGCTGTGCATTTATATTAACAAAGCTTGGTGTACAGACTCTGTCATTGTTGGGAGACACTGCTCAGCTAACCTTGAGTTTCTCATGGTTAAATGCAGACCTTTCTATCAGCCAAGGGAGCTCAGCTCCACTATTGTAACTGCAGCCTACATCCCCTCGGATGCCGATGCAAAAGCTGCTATGAAGGAACTTTACACAGCTATCAGCAAACAACAGACTGCTCACCCGGAGGCTGCATTTATAGTTGCAGGTGATTTTAACCACTCAAACTTAAAGACAGTGCTCCCTAAATTTCACCAGCATATTTCCTGCAATGCAAGAGGAAACAAAACTCTGGATCATGTTTACACAAACATCGCAGGAGCCTACACCACGACCCCCCTCCCCCACCTGGGACAATCAGACCACCTTTCTTTGTTCCTCATCCCCAAGTACTCCCCACTCATCCAACGTGTGAAGCCATCAGTGACAACTATTAAAGTGTGGCCAGCGGGGACAGACTCTGTACTTCAGGACACGTTCCATCACACAGACTGGAGTATGTTTGCCTCTCAGGCTACCTGGGGCTCTCACACAGACATTGACACCTACACTTATTCTGTGCTGGATTATATCAATACCACCATCGACACTGTTACAACATGGAAGCAGATCACCACGCACCCAAATCAGAAGCCATGGATGAACAAGGAGGTGCGGCTCCTGCTGAAGGCCCGCAACACCCCCTTCAGATCAGATGACGCAATGGCCTACAGCGTATCCAGGGCAAACCTGAGGAGGGGCATCATCAAGACCAAGCACTGCTACAAGCTGAAGGTAGAGGATCACTTCTCCAACTCCGACCCCAGATGCATGTGGCAGGGCATCCAGGCCATCAGTGATTATAAACCCAGCAACTCCACCCCGATAACCACAGATGTCTCCTTCCTGAACGAGCTAAATCACTTTTATGCTCGTTTCGACAGAGACAACAGGGAGATGCAGACCACGACCAGACCTCCTGCAGACAACCAGCCCCTCTCACTCACCTCCACAGATGTCCACGCTGCACTGAGCCGGATCAACGCTCGAAAGGCTGCTGGTCCAGACGGCACCCCTGGGCACGTGCTTAGAGCATGTGCAGAGCAGCTCACTGGGGTTTCTACGGACATCTTCAACCTGTCCCTCGCCCAAGCAGCTGTGCCAGCATGCTTCAAAGCCACCTCCATTAACCCAGTGCCGAAACACTCCAGCCCGGCAGGCCTGAATGACTACCGCCCTGTAGCACTCACACCCATAATGAAGTGCTTTGAGTGACTGGTCCTAGCACACCTGAAAAACTGCCTCCCACCCACACTGGACCATACCAGTTTACCTACCGCAGCAATAGGAGTACAGAGGATGCAGTTTCCACGGTGCTGCACTCTGTGCTCACACATCTGGACAATAAAAACACATGCGCACAAATGCTGTTTGTTGATTTTTAGCTCAGCATTCAACACTGTCATCCCCTCCAAGTTAAACACTAAACTTGGAGACCTGGGCTTCAACACCTCCCTCCGTCACTGGATAATGGACTTTCTGACCAACAGACCCCAGTATGTTAGGTCAGGACACACCTGCTCCACCACCATCACACTCAACACAGGCGTACCACAGGGCTGTGTGCTGAGCCCATTCCTCTACTCCCTCTTCACCCATGACTGCAGACCTGTACATGGATCCAACACCATCCTCAAGTTTGTGGACGATATGGCGGTGATTGGCCTCATCAGCAACAACGATGACACAGCCTACAGGGAGGAGGTACAGCATCTGGCCGCATGGTGTGCTGACAATAACCTGCTCCTCAACACCAGTAAGACAAAAGAGCTCATCGTGGACTTCAGGAGAGAAAGAGGAAGCACGCACAACCCCATTCACATCAACGGGATGGATGTCTCCAGCTTCAAGTTCCTGGGGACCCACATCACAGAGGACCTCTCCTGGTCCACTAACACCTCCAGTCTGGTTAAGAAGGCTCATCAATGCCTCTTTTTCCTGAGGACACTGAAGAGACACCACCTGTCTTCAGCTGTACTGATGAACTTCTACCGCTGTGTGATTGAGAGCATCCTGACCAGCAGTGTCACAGTCTGGTACGGAAACTGCTCTGTCTCAGACCGTAAGGCGCTACAGCGGGTGGTAAAAACCGCCCAGCGCATCACAAGGTGTCCACTTCCCGCCATTGAGAACGTCCAAAAAAAATGCTATCTGCGGCGAGCTCACAGCATCCTTAAAGACTCCTCCCACCCTGCCCACAGACTGTTTGCCCTGCTGCCCTCCGGTAGGCGCTTCTGAAGCCTCTGGACCAGAACAGGCAGACTGAGGAACAGCTTTTTCCCCAGAGCTGTCTCCCTCCCGAACTCCGCCCCCGCTGACCCCCTTCCCCTGCACATCACCTCACACCCATCATCCCCCCACCAGTCCTTCTGGTCATACACACATCTCTCATCCACCTGTATTATAGTATGTTCATATCACCTCAATAAGTTAGCGACCTGTACAATATGTCCATATTCTGTATATTATCTGTAATCTAGTATAGCATGCTCACTGCACCTTAATCTGTATATTATAATCCTAAAAATGTATGTATATTTATAGCATCCCATTAATCCAGATATCCATATATACCCAATAATTCACTTTTTTGTCTACATCTGTAAATTTTGTAATTACTGTACATAGCACAGATTCTTGCACTTTCTGCTTATTACACTTCTGGTGAGATGCCAAACTTCATTTCGTTACTCTATACTTGTATATGTGTAATGACAATAAAGTTGAAACTCATCTCATGTTGGCGCCCCCCCTGTGGGGAAAGTATGAAGTACTTTTGGGCAGAGGTATTGTGGATTTTGACCTTAATGCCTTGTCTTTATGTGCAAAGAGCCTTTGGGGCTTAAACTGATGATACATTTGAAAACGAAATTGGGAAAATCTAAATGATTAAAGAGTTTTCATAATAAACAATAACCTGAGTGGAAAATGTTAATCTGCTGGTGTGCCTGTCCTGTTTGGGATGTACCTGGGTAGAGGAGAAGCCTCCGTACTGGTTCTGCTGTCCTGTCAGCCATCTGACGATGCTGGATGAGTATCGCAGGTCCTCGGCAGAAGGAGATGCACTGAGTAAGGCCAGAAGCACATAAGAGCTGATTTCCACAGACAGAGAGGTTGATGTATCTTCCTCATTCTGAGACCAGTGAAGTAAATCCCCTTCAAACAGCATCAACACAGAGACAAGGTGAGTTACCTTAATTGTGACGTGGCAGGGATAACTCCTGGGATTTAACTGGATTTTCCTGTGATTGATGAGGCCTAAAAATCCTTAATTTTATGTCAGCTTCAGGAAAAGTTGGAATACAAGTGGTGTTGTGTAACAGTCAGAATATCATTGTAGTACTACAAGGCGGTGCCTTGGTTTTGTTTAGGTTTTCGTGACAGAAAGTTGTTAGTCATATGTTTGTTCTGACTGAGAAGTCTCTGACTACTGCTCATGTATGAGGAGTGAACATAGCACTGTGGAGACCTGGCATTGTATGCTATAAAAATACTGTGTGGAAATCCCCACTCTGTTGTCTGTCAACTCTGATACTAACTAATCTTCTGCTAATTGCTTCTGACGGCAGTCTATAGAGCGCCACCGGAATGGGTCCTAAAACCCGGAAGTAAGTTAGCATTTGAGCGCCATGGGGTCTAACGTCTAAAAGTCAACAGGGATTTTAAATGGGTTTGTGGTTAGACGCCTGAAATAAGGTCTGTGGTTAACACAAGCTTGAGAGATGTTGGCGTTTTGTTAGACCACATAAACTACGTTAGGTAATACCCCCACTTGTGAATTTTAAAGTTCTTACGCGTCTTTAAAAAGGCGGTTGACTACAGTGGTTGTCGGAGACATTAAACGTCATCACGCCGGACACAGAGGCTGGGAACTCTCTCACTCGTCGGACATGTGTCCTGTAGGTTTAATCTTTATGTTAAGGCAGATATGAGGTTAGTAAACAATTTATCAAGCGACGTGGATTAGTTTATCGGAGATCGTCTGAAGCATAACGCTAGTGACGTCACAATCATCCGACCGTGGTGTAGTTCGCTTGTAGCATAACGTTAGCTTTTTACTTCTGTCGGCCGCATTAACGCTTCAAACATCATAAAAATGGTGTTAATCTGTGAAGATTATCCTGCTGAACAAAACGGCTACGCTTCAGAAACGTGCGTTTGCCACAGAGCTTATTTTCTTATGATCCAAAATCCAATACAAAAATCCCATAGGCGAATTCTCATTAGACCCCATGGCGATGCTACTTCCGGGTTGGCCTACAAAAATACGTCATATGGTTTGTTCTCTATTAATACACATTAACTTTGAGTGAATTGGACAATATCTCAAATAAAAGCCAACTGTTGGCTGAGCAAACTGTTTGTCTTCTTACCTCACTTCCATTTGATTGTCATGTCTTAAAGACAAATGAAATGTGTGATATTTACCTACATTTACACAAAATGCTAATACTGCACTGAGTGTGGGTATTTTAATATTATCCAAAGGCGCAAGAACACTTTTTAATTGCATTTGGGAGAAAAAGGGTGGGTGGTCTACTTTGCAAACGCAATGATTGGCCGAAAATACAAGGTCACAAAACAAGTTGTAGGGATGGATGACCTTGCAGGCATTTCCTCAAGCCAAACGTCCAACTTCCTGCAGGGACTGAGTCGTGATCCGTGTTTTAGGTTGATGGCTCACCTTGCTGTATAGCCACTGTGCCGAGGTGTTTCAGAAGGAGAGCGCGGGTCTGCATGTCTCCTGCCAGGGTGAAGACATACGCCAGCAGAGCTGTGGTGTAGGTGTTGCTCAGGTTACCCATGGACTCCCTGAGGCAGGACAAGCTTCTTTGTACAACAAGAGGCTGTAAAATAAACAAGGAACATTTAAAAGAAAGATAATTTCATTAACTCATAATAGCTCTTTAGTTTTTGCATAAATCAGAACCATAAAAGTGAAGTGAAGCCAACACCGAAGTATATGAATCCTCTTGTAGTGAAGCCAATGCATAAGTGCCTTATTAAAATTCCTTCAAAAAGTCCATCAGGGGGCAACTCCACTGCTTGCTAAAAGAAGTGTGGTTGTATAAAAGGAGACCAAATATGAGTGCTGTTATCAGCTGACTTAAAATTTCCACATGGTGAAAAAAAACAGCGCAGGTTAAGAGGTTCTCACAAAGGCTAGGAGCACTAACGCCGTAAACTCTGCAAAGATTGAAACACAAATATAAAACATGCTTACAGTTCCTGTTATGTTCATCTCCAAGAGGGACGCAGTAATGTAAGCACTGAGAGTCACTTGATCAGACACACCGCCCTGTAGAGAAGGAGAATCAGGAGGCATTCAAGAAAGACAATGTCCGAAATTTCGGAGAACACAGAATTAGGACCTACTTCAAAAAAGAAAACCATAACTAATTCTGTTCATTTTCATTCAGACTCCAGAGGACTTTAAAATGACCTTCATCTTGTTGTTAAAGAGTTTCCCCGACTGTTTGAAACAGCCGTTTTCTCGTTGTTTACTCTCGATCCAACGCCTGGCCATTTCAACGACTTCAGTGTCAATGAAGACAAATGAACTCGCTTTAACAAAGGATCTCAGCACGAAAGCAGTCAACCTGTGAATGAGTTCAATAAGAGCAGACATTCATTAAAAAGCTGAGCTTGTCACAATGATGCAGAGTTTGTACTGCCTGCTAGGCTACGGCTTGACTCGATGCTATGATGTTTTCTTATAACTTGTTTTCCAGATTAGCTTGTATCCCATAAATATAAACAGCACTCTAAAACTTAAAGTTGTCAAGTGTAGCTGCAAAAAAACTAACCAAAATCATCAATAAGTCCCTTTGCTATTTTGCATTAACCCATAAAGGGATAGTTAGGTCATTTTGAAATAGGGTTCTATGGGGTATATATGCATTAGCCACTCCCTTTAAGGGGATACTGGAAGCTGTAGGCTTTACATTGCTGCAGACAGGTCCATTTGTCCCAAGTAATACACAGTACCTAATTTTAAGAAAGAAACAACATCCGGGTATATAATCTCAGCGGATGACTTTTCCACCATCAAGTCGCTTCGGCAAATCACATACAGTATGCGTTCCTATGCCACTGAACATCTCTACAGGGGTGTGGGCTTTGAAAGACAACAAATACAACCAACCTAAAAATGAGGTTTTTTTAAAAGCAATTATGATACGCTGTTTACTGTGAAAACACAACAATTTGTTTATGAACCAGAGTACACAGAGGTAACATTCAAGCACATGGAGACTCAACAGCACCATAAGAGAGAAGGAAAATTTAAGTCACATATTACCTCGATTGGAATCTCAACTTATGGAATACCTAAAATGTACCAAAAGTCTAATACTGTTGTCAATAGAAAACCAGAGAAAGGAAGAAGATACGAGTTGAGCCATGCGAGAAAAATGCCATTTAAAAAAAAATAAAAAATAAAAAATGTTGGTTATTTCAACGTTAAAGTTGAAGAATGTTTGTCAACAGGTAGACATTATGAGTCTGTTATGTTCTCACCAGCTGTTCTGCTTTCCTTCTTCAAAAACACTGTAAGAACCATCATAGTGCTTGTAGTTGAGCTGCCTCTGATAGCCTGTACCAAATGATAACACATAAACCAACAGTTTAAAAAAAGTAAATCCAAATGTGATACACATTGTCATAATTCTGCAACAATGCCCACCTCTCTAGCATTACATTTCCACTCACCCTGCCAACCACTCCCTTCTCATTAGCTTACCATGCTCACTTGTGTGCTCAGCTACTAGCCATCTCCAGCAAGCCAGAAAATAAGCCTCTCCATCTCATTCACTCATTGCCGGATTGTTCATCCGTATGAAAAACTCTCCATTTCTTAACTTGAATATTTCCAAACATTGTGTCACTTTTGACTCCATTTTGTTGTATTTAAAAACATTGAACCTTCTCCACTACAGTATACAGTAGCTGTTAATACTGTTGAAAATTGTGAATGTAAGACATGTAGAATATTTAAAAAAAACAAAAAAACAGTTCATTGTTCTTCTTAAATTAAATGTATTTTGGTTTGTGTTATGCATGCCGTTTCCATCTTGGGGATTTCCTTTTTTTTCCTGCAAGATAAAACAAACAGATTCTTACCATTCATCAGAAATTTCTCAATCTTTTCCTTGTTGGCGTAGGTCAGCTGCTGTGTGTTCTTCAGGTACTCGAGGATGTAGATGTTGGGGGCCAGAAGAGCCATGTTCTGCTCCCCACATCCATACGGCATCTGCAGCAGTCCATCCAGGTTCTTCAGGGCCCGGCCCATGATGTCACCTGCACAGAAACACTGACTTAGACCAGCTCAATCTTTCAAATTTAAATGAACCTTAACATATCAACAGAGAGGGTGCACCAGTGGCCTAGCGGTTAGGCCGCCCCCCACGGAAAAAGGCTATAGTTCACCAAGCATGTTGCCAAGGTTTGGATCCAACTCTAGGCCCTTTTGCCACATGTCACATCCTATTGGAAGACTTGACGTGTTGGGAGGAGGGAATGGGGTATGACATGCAGCAACCAGGTCATCCAGCGCCCCAGATCCTTGATCCTTTGATTGGTTAGTTCAATATGTGTTTTTATTAGCTGAAAGGGAGTGAGGTTAATACTAGAACGTCACCAGCTGATCTCTACTGCTCAGTCTGTGACTAAAAAATTTCACCAGCTCAATAGGTGAGCGATATTTGGTTTCACTTTTCTCCAATGAGAGGAGGTGGAGATGTGTTGTCCACATTTGCAGTCAATGGATTGAGGAGGTCATATCAATACAACAGCCACTGAATGATCCCATACACCTTCATACGATTGAATCTTCTTGAGCTTCAAGGAGGATTGAAAGTGTTTTTTGATCCATGAATTGTTTTGTAAAGGCTACATAATTAAAATTCAGTTTACCCAGCACAGACAGGGAAGCTCGGGCCGATCCATCGATCACATTGTCAGGAAGCTGCAGCTCTACTTCTTCTGTAAGAGCCTCCCCTGGAAAAAAAGATTTGGACTAATTCAAACACAATTTAAAGAGCTGCTGCAGAGTCCAATGCCCTAATAAAGAAATTAAGAATAATATGTTGTCAGTTAGATATGTCTGTCATTTGTTCAGATGGCAATCAAGACCAAGAAGTAAACTTTGTTCAAAATGGTCAATTTCCAAACAACATATGGGCTTCCTCTCAGTCTAGTTTAGAGTAGTGTCTATTGATTAATTAAATAATTAATCCATTGTGAATATGGAAAAGTACCACCAACTCTTCTGAGAATTGATCAAAGTTTAAAATGTTCATTTTTTTAGCAGAAATGTCAAACACTTGTTGGTCTTGGCTTCTCTTTGTCATGTCTGACAGTAAATGAGAAGTCTGAGTGGTTGGGTTAGAGAAGCATTTTAAAGAAGTCATTTGAGTCTTTGAAATAGAGACATTTCTAAATTTCCATACTTTTAAAACAAAAATACAGCAGATCAATATTCAGTGAAAATGATCGGTTGCAGCATTAGGCCAGGTGTTAATTCATGTTTCTGAATAAGGCTATACAGTGGGACGCGAAAGACAGTGAAACTAAACTCATTGAAAGAGAGATACAAAAGTCACAAAAAGAACACAACTGGCTTTCACACTAGCAGAGCTGTAGATAAAAACATCTGATCTGAACTGTACTGACCATTTGGACAGAGCAGCCAGTTGAAGGTTTTTGTCATCTCTGTTCCCTCAGCCTGGAAGAAGATGAAAAAAAAACATACCTCTAAAATGTGCACCTAAACATTTTAATTTGATCAATTAACAAACTTAGAACTTTTATTTGATGAGAGACAAAAAAAATGTCCACCTTCACTATGAGGGTTCGTGTGACCACATCGATACAACCTCTGTCTGGCACGCTCACAATCTCATTGTCACATGACACATGGGAGGCCACCGCCTCAGCGGACATTGTCACGTTCACGACCCCTAAAAGAACAAAAACTAATTCTAAACATTAATTCACAACAGGTTTAGTTACTATTGGGACTGTGTCATAGCTTTGTGTGTGGTTGCCATCATAAGTACAGTGCATTGTAGTGTGGGGTGAAACATGGAGGTACTGAACTGAGGAAGGAACGATTGACTTAAATCACATTACATTAAAAGGTAGTTTATTATATTTTTTTAAACCTAGGCTGTATTTTTAAATGTAAAAAATTTTGTTTTATGGTAAATGGACTTCAGCTTATAGCGCTTTTCTATTCTTCCGACTACTCAAAGCGCTTTTACACCGCATGTCACACCCACCCATTCATACCTTTCACACACTGATGGTAGTGGTCACTATGTAGTATCATCCATCAGAAGTAACTAATCCCATTCATACACCGTTACCAAAGCAGCTGGAGCAATTCAGGGTTAAGTGTCTTGCCCAAGGACAAGTTGCCCAGCTGGGAATCAAACCCTCGACTTTCCGGGTGAGAGGCAACGACTCTACCACTGAGCCACAGCCGCCCGTAAGATGGGATGTAAAAAAAACCTACGCGGAAGTAGCAGTTGAAGCAACAGAGTCCGCTACATGACGCTATAATGAGAATATTTACCTTTATATCAATGCTACGTGTAGTCCAACGTAATCACACTATCCACAAAAGAGCGGAGAACAACATATTGAAGAACAGAAAACATAATGCAGCCGTTTAACTACGAGCACTGAGATCGTAGTGGTCTCGTGCAGACACTCTATGCACGCTGCAGCAGTAACAATATATACACGTCCCATTGGCTCGAGGTGAATTCTCCGGAGAATATCCTGTTGCATTCTCACATCAGCCCACTCCGACTTGCTGTGGAAAGAATACTAGGGATCTGGGAGGAGAAACTCCGGGTGAAGTCTGAACAGCTGAAAATTGGCTGTTTGCGATCACACATACAGCTCCTTTTGGAAATAATCAGGAGTTTTCTGCACGTGTGGAAGCCATAACAGAATCACAATCTGAGCCTGTCAGTGGTAAAGACGTTTTAGTGGATATACTTTAGACATGTGCCTGCAGAATGAAATAACACTTTGTTTTAAACCTGCCCACTGAAGCCAATTTACAATTCCAAAACCTTAAGACCCCAAAATATGTCAAACCAAGACACGGGTTTAAGAATATTTCTGATAGCCCTTGAAGTATTTAACAAGTTATTTTTGTTATGTGACTTCATATGCATAAAATGGGAATCACAAAATACTTGAACTGCTGTCTACTTTATAAAGTTACTGAAATGTTTTATTGTCTAAACATCTCATATCTTTGACAAACTTTATGCACAAAAGTACATGTGAGGCTCATACCTAAGACCGAAGGGGACATGGTCCATCTGAAAGTTTTGCGTTCGGTAGCACACAGACAGGATGTGTACTGTTGATCGACGAGCGGGGTGAGGGTGAAATCTGTTGAGGCAGCTGGAGTCACAGTGACCTGTTAAAGGAACATGTTCAATTTGTTATGTTACAAAAAAAGTGGCTGCACACAACTCAGAAGATTGTTTGTCTAATCAGATTTGGCTGCTCTTTTTTTATATTAGGGAACCAGTCCAAACTCCAATATCAGCCAACAATGGAGGTGTCGCCCAACAGCAGTTTGTTTATGTTTCATGCTGGTGCTCAAGGACGACATCTACTGGATCAAAAAGTCGCACATTCTTGCTTTAAAAAGTCAGCAGGAACTAAGGAGACAGTTGTAATCATCTGAAATGTAAGTATTACGAGTCATTTTACCAGATAAAGCATTTTAGTCAGCTCATTCTCTAGAGTTAGAAGCAGTGTTGCCAGATCTCACAAGAGATACAAGCAACCAGGTCTAAGAAAACAAGCCCAAAGTCGCTTATAATAAGCAGACTTTGCAACACTGGTTGGAAGCAGCTCGGCTCAATTTCTGAGTCCGTCAGCTACGCTCTGCTGTGCCCACACTGTTAGACCCCACGTGGGCCAAGTCTGCTCGGATTGGTCAGTTGCTCAGCACGCGTCTCGGAAATTTCAACATGAGCTTCAGGGCTTACCACAACGAGCCAATGAACTTAGATCAGTGATCTCACACTGACAAAAACTTACTTCAAGATCCAACAGGAGAAAACAAGGAGCCACGAGTAACTGACATACAGAGGGGAAGAAACACAGAGACTAACAAGACACAGGTGAGACTAACAAGACACAGGTGAGGACAATCAGGGCAATCAACACTGGGAAATACACAGAGGCAGGAATACAATACAAGAAACACTGAGGAGAACTACAAAACTAAATCTGAAGACCAAATCATGACACATGGATTACCATGATGCAGCTGGACAGGTAGTTGAAAACAGTCGCTTTCAGATCAAACTGCTCCCCTCGGATGATGGAGTAAGGCAGGTCAAGCTCTAGGAAGAAAGGCTGGAAGACTGTGAGCGTCTCCCTCGGAGCCAAGCCGAATCCCTGAGGGGACAAACAGAAAGCCTCCGTCTCCCAGGTGGTGATGGTGTCCGGGACAGTGAGCGACAAATCTGTCGATCCAGACTCTCTGGACGAGCAGAGACACACAGATACATGGTGTAAGATAGAGGAACATGAGATCCAGATTTTAAATTAAACTTGGTAAATCCTCTGAAATTGAAAGTCTTGCTATATATTTCTTGTTTGAACTTTAGAGATACAACAATGATTGGTTCATGTTTAAGAGTTTTCTTCCTGGAAAAAATAAATCTGAATATTGCTATAAATGGTTATCAGTCCTGCTCTGTTTGTAGTCAGGTTTAGTTAACAAAAAATTATATCTAAGGGTAAAGGACAAATATCAAACATCAGAGAAGCAAAAGGAAACAAAGACGGTGATTTTCTTTGTGTGGAGATGTGCTTCAGCCTCCCCTTAGAGTCCAGTCACATCACAGGCAGCCACCTACTAAAGCATACCCTGATCTCTCAAAATATGACTGTAAATGGGATCACAAATTGGAAATTGAACATCATGATGCATGAGAAAACTCAAAACTACAGATGGGGACCATAAACTCATTAGTGAATGTTTACTGAGGTTTTTAAATCAGTTAAGAAGTAGAGCCATTTTATCATAATCTGCTATACATTAAGTCTTTATTTTCAATTAATTTGCCATCTTAACATTCCTCTTCAGAACAAGTGGCTGTAGCCTCTTCTAAATTACAGCCAGTTACTCAAACCCACATTATTTCTAAGGTACAGCAGGGGATGACTCCACTGGTCTAATTATATCAAAACATTAAAACGAACTCTGAGTGGACCGCAGTCAAGACGAACGGGAAAAACAGACACAAGGAAGAGAATAGGTTTACTGATGAGCTAATAGAATAGAATACTTTATTGATCCCAAACTGGGAAATTGTGGCGTTACAGCAGCAGCAGGTTATCCAAACACACAATATTAGCAAATATAAACAATATAATATTAAATACAAAGTAAATAAGCACTAAAAATATAAAAACTTAGAACGAGAATATACACATCATGTGAATCCAAGCATGATTTATTTACATGACGTTTTTCTCACAGCAGCACAGCATACAGCAACAATACGGCAACTTTCGGTAGCAGGTCCCGCTTCTCTATGTAGCTGTATCTGACTTACTATCCGGTGTTTCCACGTCAACGACAAACATGTTGTGTCTGTCGTGATGGCTCTGACATGGCTGTCGCCGCGACAAGACACATCCCGTTACAACTATTCAATTACGAATTTCTCTGGCTTTGATAAGTCCATTTTTAATCTATTTGGATATTTGAGTGTCCAATTCTAATAAAATTCTACATTTTGTGCCTTGAATTTATTATCTCAATAAATGTCCTAATTAGTTTAAGGGTTTTGATCGCAACTTTCAAGTCTTCTTCAAAATAGCATGAAGTTAATTTTGTAAATAATGGGCCAATTTAAAGTCAAATAGATGCTTAAGCCGAGAGTGCTTTAGGGTGTTGCTTCCTACAAAAGGGGCATTGAAACTTGAATATCTTTAGATAATAGGTTAGGTTTGGTAAAGTGACCTTCGTTATGTTTGCTAGTTGAGCTGCAGCTGTTGAGGTTGCTAGGCATCAAGGTCGGCGCTTAGTATTGAAAGGGTAGGGCGGGGACAGCTGGTCACGCAAACAGGAAATCTTCTGTAGACCAGACCGTCTGTTTTAGGTCATACTGAGCTGTACACAGGCTACAAAAGGTCGGGACCATCATGGGCTAGATCCTCGAAGGATGCTAGCCCCAAAATGAGACACAGTTCACTTCCAAAGTTCAGGTAATTAATCAAGCAGTTGTGTAAAAGTAGCTACATCCACTTCTCACAAAGTTTATGAGCAGACATAAGAAAAGATATTTCATTGACATATACATTCACCTTTAAAAATTAGATTAAAATGTATTTACATTTTTTAATTAAATACCCTTAATTTTAAAAAAACACGATTGTCAAATGAAAACGCTTTAACAGAAACTCACCCAACTTCCACCAGTTTCCATATCCAAGTTTCAGGGAAGAAAGTGCGGATCGACTTGATTACCACAGAGGGCCACAGAGAATCCATTCCAATTCCACTGCGATCGATAAAGAAAGAATTCCCTGAGGACAGAAGAACTTTTAACCCAAGTCAGAGGTCAAACTTGTCATTTGAACTTCCCTAAACTAATGCTTGTACAGCTTGTCAGGATGTTTAAATTTCTAGTCAAATAAAAAAAGCCATCTCACCCACCGTTTTCATCGTATATTGTCCCCTTGAAGTTCAAACATGAAGGCATCCTGGTAAACATATTTGTTACAATCTTCAGCCCCAATTTCTGGATAAACAGGCAGCAAAGAGTGATGTCAGTGCAAAACGGAGCAGCATTCACCCACAATATATCCACGGTGGCTGTTTTCCTCTGATGCCAAGCTTAGAGTGGGAAGCTCAAATGCTGTTTTAAAGACCTTTTTTGGCATTCTAATGTACAGTGTCCAAAACATGTGGTACAAAGTGATTTTGGGATGTCTCAGACTACATTTGTTATTACACAGCGCAAAATCAAGACGCTTAGCGAGGCACAGGTCACAAAGGGGTTGGATTAATACACTTAATTATTTATAGATGTTTTTGGAGTAACATGAATCAAATCAGTCAGAGGTTCAGTTCTCATTCCGCATTTTAAGACCAACCCATCCATAGGCGCTAACATGGGCACAAGAACATTTGCTATTTACACAACGTGCGCGATGTGTGAGAAAATTACAACTGTGTCAGGTGGAAAATAGGAACCTGCGCTGCATGTCCTATCTTATGAATGTATCTTTGGTCAATCTGTCAATGGCTAGAAGCCAAATAATTTTACCAGCAGAAACATTTTTAACCTGCCAAAACACTTAATTAGATACAATGACATAAAAAATAAATAAATAAATAAATGCATTTACTCCAGCACTGAAATAGAAGAGTTGGTGTTATTTTGGGCTATACATTCAGATTTCCTGCTCATGTTAGCCACGTCAGGTTAATGTAAGCAGAGAATTGGTTGAACGCTAATGTTAGCTTTTATGAATCATTTGTCCTTGTGAGTTTTTAACAACATGTTATTTGATAACTCAGGGTTTGTGCTTCCCTCTCTAAGAGATGACATCAGAGAAACAACGCTGCCACGTAATCAATGTGAATCATGTAGTTTAGTAATTCAACTAATTCTATTTCATTTTCAATGCCAAGTTGATACCAAAAATATATTTGCAAAATATGTTCGACAAAAATAATTACCACAAAAACTTCATGACCACCATCTTCACTGCTCCGTCTACGGCGTCTGTGTGTAGATCTCGTGCGTTTCACATTTATACATAATTTAGGATCATCAATATAATCTCTTTTCTCAGGCAGAAGTTTAAATATCTGAAAAAATGAGAGTGAAGGCTTTAAGAATGTACATATATTCATTAAGTTCCTTTACATATACAACCACAAAATACAAAATATAAACAATAAATATTACGAATATGTTAATCCCAAATGGTCTCAAAACTATATAATGCTCACATTTAATAACTGAGAAGCGAGGACGGCTAGGATAAATGGACTAGCAGGGCGAACTCCCCCTTTCTTACATTTAAGAAAAGAAAATTATTCTTCAAATAACTTTCAACAGTTGGTAGTTAGACTTTGGTGGAACCTAGAGCAGCAACCAAACTGAAGGAAAACTAAAAAACCAAGCAGTATCTCTTTATGGGATGTAGCTGCCTCCTCCATTCAATACTGTAGTGTGAATGATTGGCAGGTGTCATTAAAATGCCAGAGTAATTGCCAAAAACACAACACACAAAAGACACGTATTGTATATATTTCAGACTTCCCTCTCCCCAGCAACGTTTTCTAGCTGAGGGATTTCAAGGCGTTCCCAGGCTAGACGGGATATATAATCCCTCCAGCGAACTCTGGGTCTACCTGTGGTATCCTCCCAGATGGGCGTGCCCAGAAAACCTCAGAAGAAAGGCGTCCAGGAGGCATCCTAATAAGACGACCAAACCACCTCAACTGGCTCCTTTCAATGCAAAGGAGTAGCGGTTATACTCCGATCTCCCCCCGAATGTCTGAGCTCCTTACTCTATCGCTAAGGCTGAGTACAGCCATCCTCTGTAGGTATCTCATTTCAGACGCTTGAATCTGCGATCTTATTCTTTTAGTCACTACACATAGCTCATGACCGTAGGTGAGGCCTTCAGGCTCAGCTCCCTCTTCACCACAACGCCCACATTACTGCTGAAGATGAGCCAATCCGTCTGAGAGTCCATTCTAAGACCCTGAGATAGGATAGAAAATAGAAAATTGAATCCAATGTTGCTAAAAACAGCCAACCTTCTCTGCATCCAGAGTCTTTCCTGGCTCATCGATAAGGACGCTCTGGTCAACGGCACTCACACCACACAGAGAGCCCGGATTGGCCAACACCTGAAGGGTAGTTCCCTCTCCTGGTATTGCTGAGGTTGGAGAAAACGCCAAGGATACCTGACACACACACACACACACACACACACACACACACACACACACACACACACACACACACACACACACACACACACACACACACACACACACACACACACACACACACACACACACACAGTTAGTTATGTATTCAGAGGTCTGCTTAAACTGTCTTTCCTTTTTTAAACCGGGCTAAAACCATTGTTAACTGCTGTGTTTCAGTTGAATGGCGACATCGCTTTTTTATCTCAAACTATTTAAAGGAAGAATGTGTGACTTTTTGATCCAGTAGATGTCGCCCTTGAGCACCAGCAGAAACCAAAACAAACTTCAGTTTGGCCTCTCTTCTCCAGCAACATACCTAGAACCACCTTCCCTGGCATTCGCAGAAAGGAGTCAAGCGCAAACGGTGGACAAAATTGTCCTTGGCTAGAGCTGCAATTATCTCTGGCCTGCATGTTTTTGATAGCAGGCTAATGTTAGCACGTATTAGATATTGCGTAGCTTCACATTGCATGTAAGTTGACACAGAATGACCTAATGATCTAAAAACGCTTGCGTGACATCCAAAGAAGCAATGAGTAGGCTATGTTAATCTTTCTTCTTTCTAATTGGCCGTCCCGTCCATATCATGATGTAAACACGGTTCTGACAACAACACAGCTAGCGGGACTCACGCTTCTGACTCATTGTCGACAGTCATGACTCAGAGAGACATGTACAGAGCATATACTTGATTTCTGCTATATTTGTGTGTACAATGTTGCACAATTGAAATAAAAGGTTAATTTTCTTGTCACTTGTGATTCACAACGTGTATTAGACCGAATTCTGAACATACTTATATCATTTTGTGAAGCTCAAATAAATTCCAGACCCGTTTATTTTTCCACTCTGACCTTGTGGCTGAAGCATTTCTCGGTTTGGAAGATAGCACTGTCGGCGATAACAATCTCATTGGGGAGGACGGCGTAAGCTACAACCTGGAACTCTGGTGCTAAATCTGGAGTCACTTTCAATGTAAAGATGATCTTCCCATCAGTCACTGAAACAGAAGAGACCATTTTTATGATGCATCAACCCAAAACAAATCCATTATAAGTAACCTCCTAAACCAAAATACATAACAATCAATTATCCTTGCACTACAATTGAATATTTATTGATCTAATCTGAGTTCATTTGCTTCTGTCTTCCCATTGTCTCCCCTGTTATTCACCAAGAAATAGAAATCTGTTTTATATTTATTCTTAAATTGGAGAATGGAATGGTATTTCAATGTCTGATTAATCATGTAAAGGATTCTCATTTGTACATTTTCAAAGCCATCTTTACCCACCGGGTTCATTTTGCACTTCCACCTTTTGATGTCCTTGCATGGCAATGTTTCCTCTGGATAACACCTAGAGAATTTAATAGAATCTCGTTAAAATGGTAAATAAGCCTTTAGCATCTAGCTTTTCTGACACCAAAACAATTAATCAATATGTGAGTGTCCCAATCAATGCACTAAAAGTTTGACATTAACCTTAATGTGGTCTGTATTTCAGTATGAGGTATAAAGATAAACTGGGAGCAGAACTGGGAGCACTGAAATAAGAAAAATGCTTTTCACTGATTGGTCACATGAAGTTAAAACATATTTTCTGCAACAATATTTCAGTTAGTTTGGATGTAACGCTTTACAAGTTAAGATTAATCTGACGTCCCCGTGGTGCAAACAATTAATGAGTGACGCCTACATGACATTGATTTCACACTTGATGTGCTTCATTATCTCCTGAAACACACAGGGTTTAGTTTGGACTTCATACCATAACTTAAGACACAACTTACAGTATACAGAGCTGCTGCAACAGGCCACAGGCCAAGCTTTTGCAATTTCACATATTTCACCACCACTCACCAGATACATCACATCCACTGCACTTCGGGTATCTCCCACAAAAGTGTAGAGGATGGAAAAGTAGTCCTCTTTGTCACAGGGAAGCTGGTCGTTCTTTGTCTTCACTTTCAGAGAGCTGGATGATTTAGTATCAGGAGAAGACGGCAACACCAAGGAAAGTTGTTGATTTCCAGTCTCATAGTGTGGACCTTTGAAGCGACTGTATTGCTCTGGGTCTTCATTCAGGCTAGCCTGGGTAGTAAAGAAGAAGTGATATTAGTAAGTAACAATGGTTGGAGTAAGCTATCGTGGCTAATGCTTAGCAATTCAAATAGTTTAATAAGTACTTTGTTAAATAAGAGTTTTAAACTAGGAAATCACCACATTCATATGGCAGCCACTATCCTGCAGCATCGTCTTCCATTCACTTCTGTAGTGTAAATGATTGACAGGTGTCATGACACCCCCTCTTGATGTGCTCATCACTTGGACGTAAATCATTCAGCCCACAGGCCACTGACTTTTGACCAATGGCATTGGCACCATTATTTTTCATACCTGAGTCTTTTGGGGCTTTCAGAGGTTTGCATTATGTCGCCTTTTAAACCCAGACATTTTCAGCAATCTAACGGCAGCTAATGTGTTGTGAAGTTGTTTGTCCTTGGATGATGGCCTCTTGTTTCTCTGGATTTTAATCTTTCGGTGTTAAAATCACAACAGCAAGGGGCGCTGGTGGGGCAGTGGTTATAGTCCTCCAAGCAGGCAACCCAGGTTCAAATCCCACCTGTGGCCCCTTTCCCACATGTCATTCTCCACTCTCTCTTCCTGATTTCCAACTCTATCCAAGGTCCTATCTCTTCATTAAAGGCACAAAAAGCCCAAAAATAAATCTTTAAAAAAAAAAAAAATCACAACAACAAAACTAGAATATGGTTTGAGCTCTACCATTTTGGTAGCCATCCTTTCTGTCAACTTTTTCGACAGTTTAATCTCAGCCTGTCAGCAGCAAAAACAGGCATTTTTGATTGGGCGAGCTTTGAGCCGAGACGTTTGCCCTTAAATAAAGATATTAGCCATTACAGCCTGCTTCATAGCTGATGGCTCTTTCTATCAATCAATAAGACCCAAACAAAATGTAAATAGCTTCATGATTTTCAAAGAACCAAATTTTAACACTATATTTTCCTTGTTGTTTTTTTTTACACTTACTTTGAGAAAGACGTTGTTCTCAAAGTTGGTCATATTTAGTGTGAAAGGGGCGATACCATTGCTGTCAGTCATGAGGTTCTGTAGCAGATGTATCCTCCACCGATCATGCAACAAATAGACCGGCATGTCCGGAACAGGTTCATTTTTGAAGGTAACCATTTTAACCTGAAGTAAGACAAAACATGTATTTCTTAAAATGCAGAAGTATGCACAATTGTTCTGTATTCATCAAAACGAAAATTGAAAAATAATAATTATTATTATTTTCTTACTTTTCCTTCCACAACTGATCCTTTATCATAAAACCTGGGTGTGTCAATAAAGAACAACTTTCCAACCACATAAGAAAGTTCCCTCATTGTCCCCTGTGATTGTTCAATACCTGCAACAAAAGGAAGTCATCTAACAACAATATAATGCCATATGGTTCTGAAAATACGATAACGGAGCTTACCTGTTCCCTCCTCTTTCACTACAGCGTTGATTAACAGTCTATCCCACAATGCCTTTGGGTCCAGTTTTGTGAAGGTTGACATGTCGAAATTAAACCTGGCACAGCCGTTCTGTTCTGTCTATACAACCAAAATATGCACGTTAAAACATAGAGTTGCTGCTATTGCCAAGAATGATCATTTACCCATTGAATTGACTGATGTAACCAAAACACGTGTTGATTTCAGAATAAAAATGTTTCCGTCATGTTTTTTTTTTTCTTCTGTTTTTTTTTTTTTTGTGAAGCTGTAACAGCACCTTCTTTGTCTCCTTGTAGCACGGCTCTGTGATATCAAGTTCAACGGGTGGTTTCAGAGGTCGGCACGTCTTAAACGAAACACTTCCTGGCACGGGTTGTCCATAAGTGTATCTGATTGGATGGGAAGTTTGAGTGAAATTGGTGCGTTGTCAAGAAAGTTTCCCCCATTTTTTAAATCACATGTGACAAGTAGAAGTGTGTCTTACTCACTTTGCACAGACTTCCACTTCGATTTCCTCCTGTCCAACACATATTTCATTGGACGCTTTTATTTTTACATCAAATTTTGGCAAAACTGAAAACAAAGAATGTTATTTAAGCATCCTCTGTTGATCTAAAAATGGTGCTGTTATTTGCCTGCGTAGCTGGTGTTACTTACCATATTTCTCCACCTTGAATATGTGATATATCTTTCTTTCACCTATCCCAACTTGAACTTTCCATCCTCCTTCACAAGCCTCAGAGTTCAAGGAGTAAGACAGCTGCAATATTTTTCCATTAGACGTTGTGTTCATCCACTGCCTGAGCCGGTTATGCTTTGAATCCTGTTCAATACATTTAAAGGAAAGAGGATTTATTCACTGGTGGTTAGTAGTTACAGTCACTATTTATTATGGATTTTAAATCCGTTGTCCTGCATGTAAAAACAAAAAAGGATACAGTGAGCTTAATTTCATCTTACCATTATTTCGATGGTATTGTACTGTAAAAAAAATGTAAAGAGTAAATTTACCAACAAAAAAATAATTCACCCTGAGAACAGCCGCCCCAAATACAATTCTTCATGGATGTGCATTTTAATTACACTGAACCGAAAAAAAATTGAACATTTCAAGGTCTAAACTGGATTTTTAAATGCTGTACAACAACACAGTTAGCATTAATAACGAGTCCCATTCTTGTTTTCATAATTTTAGACACTTGTTTGGTGATAAAGATGAGCTACTTTGGGTTTCACCTCTACAATCAGTCACTGCAGTCACACTGCTTTTTCAAGATTCATCATAAAAAAACAAACCTCATAATCCGATTAATGTACAAAACAGCATTAAAGCTAGATATGAGAAATAATAAAAGGCTTTTTCTTTTAGAAAATTGAGTCCAGATAAGGGGAAAGAGACTGTTGAACTTTGTAAAAATAGTCAAAATATCAGAATACAGTCAAAAGTGTATTAGTATAAATATTGAACAAAAAGTTAAACTTCCAAAGATGGTTCCAAAAACAAGATTCATGTCTCTGATGTTCTCTTTATATAAAGGTTTCTGCAGCTTTAAATTGGATTCTCTGCAGCTAAACATAGTGTGGGAGTAAGTAGGTCAGAGCGTCTGCAAATATATAAAAGGACCTTCACCACTTGTATGTTTACTGATTTAACAATTGACCCAGCTCAGATCTAAAAGTGGTCGTTATCCAACAGACTGCTGAAACATTTGTGTAGTGACACTGTTGTAAAGCTTTCACTTTGCTCTCTGTAACCTGGTGCCAAGTTGTGCAGTGACTCACTATTACACGGTACTCTCTGTTTGAATGAAATCAGGTCCAAAAGAACGAAAAGACCAGACAGTTCAAACACTCACCAGCTCATCAGCAGGTCTGAACTTGTGGTCCAGAGTGAAGACTCTGAAATGCACTGAAGAGAATGCAAAAGGGGAAAAAACAATCAAAGCACACGACACAGGCTAACTGGCCTCAGACATTAATGTATGCTGTTTGGCATAAACACATGAGAATGATAACGACAGTCTTTTTTTTTTAAATATCTTGTGCAATCCTAGAATGGCCTGGGCCAGTTAGCGCCCTAAAATGTTGTTTGAAGAAGTTTTCATGGGTTAAAATGAAAGGATTTTCATCTGATTTACCTTTTTGTTGCCTTCACAGTTTTGTGTTTTCCTTGGGTAAGGCATATACTCTGCAAAACTGAGGCCCTTTCTGACCCAATATTTGAGTCACACAGCTGATTTCTAAGTCGGACTGAATTTCAGCTCAATGTCGTCGTTTGCTGTGAGGGGGGAAAAAGGGCCAACCACAGCCTGATCTGCTGCTACTGAATGGTCGGATGAATTTCTGTCATGATTTGAAACGTTGGACAAACGACTGCACACACTCGCACAGAGCAGAGCCATTAGGTTATTCCCCAAATCCAGGGCTGTTAAAAACTGCAGGCATGTCTGTTTAATGGGTCTCCCCCCTCTTATCGCAAAATATATGAACGAAATATTGGCTGGAAATATCTGCAGACTTCTAGCTGACAGGGAATATGTGGTACCTGGTGTGTGTTGGGGATGTTATGAGTGTGTGTGAGAAAGAGAGAGCATTCTTGATGGTATGTATTTGAGCTCTGCTTATTAGCTAAATGTAATACACAAAGATTTGACTTCAACATCCATCCATGTCATCGCCTTATTTTGATTTTGATTTGTGTGATTTGCTTGGCTATGTTATCAAATCACTTTGTAAACTCTTGTTTTTAAAGGTGCTTTATAAATAAACAGAGTTATCATCATGTTGCTCCCCTCCCCACAGATCCCCTCTGTCGGGCTCTTGTTACCTGTTTGTCCTGGTAGGTAGAGCGGTTTATCTGTTTGGACGTACGTCATCTGTCCGTTGTCTTTGACCCATACCATCCTGACTTCTTCCGAGAGGAATTCATCGCCTTCAACCTTCACCTTGAAATTGTGAAGTTTATAATTCTTCACTAAAGGAGCCTGTGGCGGAAATAAAGACACCAGAAAAGTGAATCAAAGGAAACAATGACGTACATCAGTTTCTATGGAGCTTATGCATAAATAAAAATGGTGTAAACCCTTGACAAGAATTTAGGTTTCTTAAAAATGTCTTTGAGTCTTTTGGACAGATGAGGAAACACAGTTTTCAGTTGAAATGTATAGAGCTGTAAAGCTGTCCATGTTTTCAGAAACCATTTTTCTGCTTGAGTATTTGAGTATTTGTCGATTATATGTGACCTAATAGGTCGACCGGAAGAAGGTCCAATAGTAACCTTAATCCTAAAGGGGGATTTATAAAGTAGGACATACTTCCCACAACAAATTGATTCTCCCCCAGTGTACTGGGACAAGGACAGTAGTCCAATTAAATGACCTAAGCTGTAACCATAGCTTGACTAAACTGTGTATGCAAGCGTACTGAAAGAAGTTGAAGCGTTGACCTGGAACGTATAGCATTCATGTAATTCCACGCTGGATGTCGTCTTTAGAAGGATTGTCTCCTCTTCTTCGGAGGTCAGCGTGACGGTGATGAGCAGAGGCTCGTTGGGCTGCAGGAGACTCAGACAGAATTGGGTCTCAGCCCCGGCTTCTAACTCTGAAGGTACGGCTACCAGGTACTGCCTGCAGCAACAGAAAAATACAATGTACAGATTACCCACAGACTCTTAAAAAGAAGGAACTACAACAACAAGATTGTACTCAAATACAAGACCGGAGAACTTAAATGAAATTCTGCAAGCAAAGCTCTGCTAGCTGCTAATTTCTTCTCTGTAGAAGTAGCTGAACAACAACACTATGAAAATACAAAAATCTAAAAGAAATACACATTCTAAAAAAAAAGACAGAATTAAAGACATATTTGTGATACGACCATAGACTGTATAAAAAGATCAACATGATAGTTCCCCAAAAGTGAAGCCAAAACATTTAGAGCTCCCCCTACTGACTGGCTGCATTATAGGCCACAAGCTCCGCCTCTTCCATGTTAACAGAAAGCGCATTGAAGATCAAAATACTTGTCAAATATTTCTATCATAGAGCTAAACACTGTTGTGCCAGAAGTAAAAATCCCATTCATTTTCTCTATAGTGGATTTGATTATTAGCCATTCTGTCATAACCATCCAAGGTAGACTGACCACGAGTTACCCGAGTGTAGAATGATGGTATATGCTCCTGTAGGAGACACAGGTTGCAACTTCCATATTAACCTTGTTTTAAGAAAACCAAGATTTATTCGCAATACGGGGGCAAAGAACTACACTAAAAACAGCAAACGAGGAGCACTCTAGACAGTTAAACACAGTAAAAGGTGCACGCCAAAGAATTAAACTACCATAGTGTTTCTGATTGGTTGAGCTTGCTGTTACCATGGCAATGTTTCCCGCCCCTCTGCGCCGAATGCCAACAGCTAAGTTTCGCTAGCCGGCTAGTTAGTTAGTTAGCTAACACGAAATGTACTAATAACCTCGTCATGCCGCAGTTTATGTAGTTTATATTCTCCACAAAACAAACAAAGAGCTAGTACAACACTTGCATTGACAGTATAAACACAATAACAACGACAAAAGTTACTTTTAAGAAGAAACTATATCATTGACAATGGATTGTGGGATAGGTAGTTCCTTGACTCCGGACGAAAATTATGTACACGGTCTTATCCTTGAAATGTGTGATTTCGTTAGAGGAAGAGGCGAGAAATCAATACAGAGATTCCACCAGCTGATCTCAACTGCACAGACTCTGGTTCTCAGGTGGGGGTGTTTTGGCTTCAGTTTTTGTACAGTGGAAGGAAGCGGTGTCCATCTTTATATACAGTGTTTACAATCCATCAGGCAGAAATGTGCAAAGTCTTTGCTGGGGTGAGATGGCTGACTCCAAAAGAACATGCAAAGGCTTCTATCAAAACAACTTGCAATATAACAAGAACACTACCTATTAATAATTTTAAATGTGCTCTAGTTTTACAGGTTTACATTCAATCCAAACAAACGAGATCCAATCCGATCAAACTTTTTTCCTTTTTTTTATTAAATTGACCTGAGATACAACACAAGGACAAGACTGCAAAGAATGCTGAATGTGCTGTTGTAAACTAGATTTAACAGTTAGGACAAATATTTAATGCACACCTTTTCCTATGGTCTAAATGTATGTTTAAGTGGTCCAAATACTTAACTTTGTAATTTTTTATAATCACTTTTTGATATGAGCAATATCCATTAAGCTATAGCAAAATATAATCAAGTATACTTATCAAATGATATTTAGGTCATCATCTCTCCACTGACACTTTTCCCCATCTTCAGCTGCTCTTTACTCCTTCGTCCTCTAGAAAAGTCAGAGCTAATACACACATTATTTTCACAGTTCAACTAACTTACGGTTCTGCTGCCGCCTGCACAAACATCCAGCTCAGGCAGACAAACAGGGTCCACCTCCAAATCCCAGGATGGCCCATGACTGTATGAAGTGAACATCACTGTCTCTTCAGTTAAATAGTCTAAGCCCCGCCCTTGTTCACCCATTACACACAAACACACGTTTTGGGTTATTTTGGGGACATATGCAAATGTACTGCCTTTCAGGGACCGCTTTCCGTCAACCATTTTACCCACACTCATGCATCATAAATTGTACCCACCTATTGAAACTTACTTCATAATTATTATGAAACAATTTTATACTTAAGTAAATCTGTAACTTTATTAAACTTATATTATACATTATATGTTTTCTGGGCGTAAAATTAATACAATTGACCCTTTCAAATGTCTGATGGGAGAAGGTGTTGGACTTCAGTCTTTCTAAAGTCTTTTCAAAGTATGACACCTTTTCCCATCAGACATTTAGCCACAGATCATAAAATATTCCTGTGACTACAATTACAGCTAGATTTGTGTTTGGATTATTTGCCTTCACAGTCATCTTAAGTCATTTTCACACATGCACTCCTGAAATTTCTGGAAAAAAAACGATGAGTCTCCACCCTCCTCCCGTATCGACGGGCGCTGATATGTTGCAATGATGACCTATTTTGCTGAGCCAGCTGTAGACTCTGATGCCCTTTTTAGGTCCTCCCCCCTGACAAAAAGTCAATTCTAACTTGCAGATAAAATGGCAATGATCCCCCACGTTTGTTTGTTGTGGTTAAGTTGAAGGTGAATTTTTTTAAGTTTGATAGTCTCCTAATATAAGATGAGGGTCTGTTAACTTTGCAAAGACACAGAAATGTCCCTCAAAGAGAAACTGTTTGCTGTAATAATGAGAGGATTTCAAAGCCTGTATTTTACAAGTGGAATTAATACTTCTGCTTTCTTTAAGGCCAAATCAGATTAAAAACAAATCAGATTACAGGTAAATGTTGCAGAATGAAGTGAACTGTATGCATCTTTGTCCAAAAATCACACTACTACCTACTCAGTAAACACACTGTGGGGGCAGCACCCCCTGTTGACACACAGCTTGTACTGATCTGCACACAGACAGGGGTAAAAGGAATAATGATTGTTACAAAAGCAAGGATTTAGTCAGTCAATTTTTTAGAAGAGATCAAATATATTATTGTAAATTAGCATTGAGTGCATTTTGTATTTGTGAAAAAATGGTGAGACATTTCAATGAGAAATAGATGGCTTTATTTTCACCCTGAATCCGCTCATTTTTATATATTTTCATGTAGAACATCAGTACAAACCTATTAAAAATGTATGTAAAGTAGAGGAATAGGAGGAGGGGGAACAGATCTTTACTGCCAATCATTTGGGTTGAAATTCACATTTCTTCAGACATTAAACAACCTGGATTTCATTATGTCAGACCCTTGTGTTGCTCAGCCTGTTTGAAGGTACTGCAGATGTTCTTACGGAGAAATTATGTTTCGTATCCAACCGGTCCAATTCACAAATCAGAAGTTTCGCCAAATCCTAATCTCGCCTATAAGGCACCAAAATGGCTGGAGCCGGCCCTGGTTCTCCACCTTTGTTCTGGGAGCCCCCATGCTTGTGTCTTAGAATAGCTGAGTCCCCCCAGTTGACTGAAATCTGAAAGTCAAAACAATTAAAAAATATGTCTGGTGGCACATGGGGGAAATTAACAATTGTCTGTGATAGCAGTTTTAGTTTGAGGAATCTTTGCAAAATTGTCCATTTAAAACAAACTAAAGACATAAACAATTGTAGGGGAGCAATGAAATTCGGTATTCACATGTAGTGAAGTATTGTTTTAAAACAAATTTAAAGTTAAAGAGTCAAGCAGAGGTATTGTTCTTACAGAATTTAATAGTACATTTGGTGTACTTGGCTTACTGCACCAGGGAAAAGCCATATCTTAGTAGAGCCGACAGGGGGCGACAGAGATTTATCCTAATATGAATGCCAACCGGAAAAACACTCAAGAAGAAGACAGCAGTGTCGTATACTTCCGTCAACAGTGACCCAGTGTCATAATGTGAAACCAGGGAGATTTTAGAGGTGCTGTGTTTCATCTGACAGCTTTCTTTACACTTCAAAGCTACTGTAAGCTTCACTTTTTTTTAAATGAATTTGGTGGTGATAATGCAGCTCTATAGAAACATGTTGTGTTAGCTGTAGCTTAGGTCATCTGAGGATAAAGAAAGACAACATTACAACATTTAAATAATATTAAGATAACGGCATGTTCAAAACACGTCATATCTAGTCTTTTGTATTGTTTAGCCAGCATTATAAACTAGTGGTTTCTCGAGTGAGATCCAGCCAGATATACAAAAGTACTTGAACTCGTCCGATGTTTAGTTTGTGTAGGGTCAGTGGGTCAGTAGGGTCAGTGGGGTCAATGTTTTGTCATGAGAAAAAAAAACATGTTTGTTATTTTGTGGGGTTCAGCATTAGTTTTAGACTAATCAGTAGGGATGTAACGATTCACGATACTGGGTATTGTGATTCATTTTTAAGAGTACCGATGTGAATCTTGACACCTTTGAATCGATTTATCAAGATTTTACTATTAATCTTTACATCTCTACTAATCAGAGCTTGTTTTAACGTTTTATTTAATAGAAAAGACACAGCGTGTAAAAATGTTGAAATGCTATGACATTTTTCCTTTAGTTTTTTTTTTTTTTATAGAAGACGATGTATGTCATTTCATGGAGGCAGTAAAGAAGGTGATATCCTGAAAAAACAATCCTTACAAAAGTGAAGTGAATATTTATATGGTTTATAAAATGGGAAATATTCTCATGCATTTGAATCCCAAAAATGTAAGAGGGAGATAAAGTCCTCACATTTTGTTGAATCCCGTGCCTAACCGTAACTTATCATCTCCTTTGTTTACAAGAAGATATCAGTCTGCTGACATAACCCTGTTTTCTTTGCATGTCTGAATTTACCCAGGTCTGTCGACTGTTCACCAGCAGCAGATTAACAAAAGGACAAAGGAATGCCTCCTTTAGTTGGAGCTGAGTTGGTCCAGACTCCCGTGCAGCTCTTTCGATATCTCCTCAGATGCTGCAGATTGTTGCCAACTACAGCAGTGCAGCAGCATTACCGACATGCCATCAGACAGGTGAGGTTGTTGCTTGCACTTCCTGTTGACAAGTTAAATGATTATTAAAGAAACTTGGACATTTATTTTAATATATAATTTTTAGTCATCATTAGTTGGTGGTAAAATCTAAAGATATGTCCTTATATGCAGGACAAATGTACGGATCTAAACATTTAGAGGTTTTCAAATAAGGTGAATCAGAAAATGATTAAAATGTACAATGTGGGAGTTAAAGGTCACATATTATCCTACTTTTTCTACAACTTTAAATAAGTCTCAGAGCTCCACAATACATGTCTGTGAAGTTACTTGTTCTAAATCCACTTTGATCCTGTATTTGATCATGTCTATAAACCCCTCTATTTCAGCCCTGATCAGAACAGGCTGTTTCTGTTTCTGTACCTTTAAATATGCAAATGAGCTGTGTCTGACCACGCCCCTCTCTGGAAGGGTATGTAGCTCAGGCTTTCTCGTTCCATGTCCTATTGTTTACAGTGAGAAGGCAGACTCAGAGGGCAGAACAAACACCTAGCTGTGTGAGTGTCACCCACCTGGGGGAGGGGTTACTGCCCTTTGTGATGTCATGAAGGGAAAATCTCGCAAAACACGGAGAGGATGGACTTTTCTCATAATTGGAGGGTTTGTAGACAGACTAGAGATATTAGTGTTAGGAAAACATTGTAAAGTGTACTTTGCATAATATGTGACCTTTAAATCTGTTACTTGTTTTGATTTCTGTGTTACTCTCAGATCTTTTTGTAAGGATTTAGATCAATCAATCGGCTTCAGTGCCCTCACTGCCATGTCCAGTCAATAACTGATCTTCTGATTTGTTTGCAGAGTTACAAAAGTCATTCAGACGAAGACGACCAGGAGAGGATACAAATGATGATCCAGAGAGCGATCGCTGACGCAGACTGGATTCTTCATAAAGTAAGGATGACTGCTTATGAAATGTAGGTTCATGTAGAAAATACAAACAGTAACTATTTTCTATTCTCGTTTTACGTTTACAGTACACCAAGAAGTGAGGATCACAGAGCATAAAATACGTCCTCCGCTGCACATTTGTTCTTAATGTTGTGTTGATATGTGCGTGAACGGCGATGATGAAGAAACATGTCACTAGAAAGTGAAAAAGTCTAAATACTGTTATTAGACAGAAGAGAGTTTATGACTGTATTTGTCATGTATTGTATTTCTTTTCTCAATAAATGAATGCTTATTTACAAAATGAGTGCTTTTTTTTCTATTAATTGAGAGACCTGCTTCTCACACACATAGGCCCAAAACACCACCATGACCTGTGGACATGCAGTGGGGAGATGTCAGAGTGGGGCTGCTACGCAGGGAGTGCACCAGAGTGGTTGAGGGTTCGGTGCCTTGCTCAAGGGCACCTAGAATATACTCAGGAAGTGACCTGGCACCTCTCCAGCTACCAGACCAACTTCCATATTATGGTCCGCACCTGAACTTCAACCGTCGATCCTCCGGTTCCCAACCCAAGTCCCTACAGACTGAGCTACTGCCGCCTGTTCTCACCCCCTTAACCCTCATGATGAACTTTAATCAGTCATTGAAATCTAAATAATGATTTTATAATGATGACACATTTTATTGTGCAACATAGTCCACTATTTATTCAAGTATAATCATGTGTTGTCTAAATTAATACATGAATAACACAAAACAGTTAGAAAGAAGAAAACAAATCTGAAAACAGGAGAACGTATTGGTCGTGTGTTGTGCCTACAGACTCCGGCTATACCAGCGGATTGGAATAAAAAGCAAACACAACACACAGATCGAACCAGGATGTCAATTTCTCTCCTTCGTATTTACAGATGCATGCACATGCAGTATTGCAATTAATACAAAAAGTATTAAAACTAGATATACACACTCATTTTTCAGTATAAATAGTATAAATAATATTCCTTTGTATAAACAGCTCCATCCTCTTCAACGTTGGTCTGAAATGTTGAGACGTTTGGTCTGAGGACTAGATGTTTTCCGATGATGTTGGAGCTTTGGGATTGCTTCAGAAAAAGAGTCGCAGCAGAGTAACTCTCTGAGGGATGGGGTCTCCCAGAGAAAAACAGGACAGGCACTCCGGAAACGTGGTCAGAGACGTCAAACATTTTCTGCCATGTGAGTCTGATCGTCACTTCTGCAGGATAAACTGGTCAATGAACTCGTTCTGCTCCGACTCCACTTTGGACAAGGCGTCGTACTCAATTCGATATCTGAAACCAGGAAACAAAACAGAAATGTAACTGAAATAAGGTAATAAAGCATGCAGTTCATGTCATTATACATACCTTCTAATGTTGATACAACCCTAATAATGTAGATTATCATGTCCATATTGTCAACTTTGTTGTAAATATGGTATTTATTGGCAGATTAAAATTGACAGGAAGTCAACAAATGATGTCATCACATACAGCAATCTGGATATAACTAATTACTGTAACCACAGACTGTGTATAAGAAATAATGGTAGACTTTTGTTTTAAAAGAGAAGCCAATGCAGAAGTACCTTAAACCTGCAGTCTTTCTAACGGACAGCAGGGGGAGACTGCACTGGATAAAAAAGAAGCATGTTCTTTTTTTTTTTAAACTGTAGAGGGAAATCAGTCTTTGTCTAAGTTGATTATTTATCTCAATAGACATTTCCCTACTAAGCTTCTCATCCAAAACTGTAGTTTCAAGTCTTCTTCAATACAGCATGATGTTGTTAGTTATGGTCACATTATGGCTTGGTATGATTGAGGGCTTTGTTAACTGTGATTAACAGTTCACCAGAAACACATCTGTTAAGTGGTCCATTATACTAAAGACATTCTGTGTGGCTATTATGTTGTTTTTTTTAAGTCACTATGATACTATTTACACAACTCAAAATTTGCTTGCTGAGTAATTTCACAGTTGTTTCAAGATGGAGAAGAAAACGATTATATATCTGGTATAGCATCTATAGCCAAAGAGGTGGCTTGTAATGGAGGTCTGAGACTATGTGTCACAACTCATGCTGGTTCACAGGGGTATGTATTTACTGGTCCCACAAGCTAGCTACTCAGAAATGCATGGATTGTACTAAATTGTGTGCTGCACAATCCAGCCCTGTGTTGTTTAGGTAATGTGGTCACACACACACACACACACACACACACACACACACACACACACACACACACACACACACACACACACACACACACACACACACACACACACACACACACACACACACACACACACACACACACACACACACACACACACACACACACTGTTTACCTCTCAAGTTGCATCTTCTTTTCAGCTATCAGAGCCTGAAGCTGCTGCTGTTGAGCCTCTCTCTGCTTTGCCACTGACTTGAGCAAGTTTCTGGCCCCAATCGCCTAAAGAAGAAAAGAACACGGGGTGTTTTCGGGCCATGATGACGACTATTTATTCTTATGTAGCTGATGTTGAGAGCTTCAAATGCTAATTTAACCTTCATCTTTTCTGTCTCTGCCTCTTTGGCCAGTTCATCCACCAGCTCAATCAGACCTCCCACTATCTTCTGAAACTGGCCAATTTCTTTAAAAAAAAAAAGAGACACAAATATTAGCACATCCTGTTGAAATTCAAGGGGGAAAACACACAAAGCTGAATGGATTTGACAAAAGTGTCAGTGCTTACTATCCACAAACTCTTTACACTCCTCCTTGAGCTCTGACGTCTTCTGGCTGACATCAGGATCCAGCACCCGTAGCTTGTTGAGCTCATCGAAATAAAAACCTGCCTCGGCTAACGGGTCTTTAGCCATGGCCACAGGGCCTGTAAAAAAATGAAATAAAACCGCAAAGCATGTAATAAATAAGATTTGACTTAGGGCTGGGCAATATATGGAGTTTTTAAGATATATGGCTATATTTTCAAACAAGATATAGGGTAAGACAATATCCTTAATATGGATATAGTTTATGTTGCATTAAAATAACGTTACAGAGGTGTCAGGTCTCCTTTTTCTCATCTCACTGATGATGACTGACTGTCTGTCCCTCCTGTCTCTCTCTTTTATTGTATTTAAGAAACATTTTTATTTTATAATATTACTTTTTAAATTCACAAACAGGTAGTTTATTTTCCATATGTTTTCACTGTTAATAAAATACATATCGATATATATCGAGTATTGCCATTCAGCCAATCAATATCGAGATATGAATTTTGGTCCATATCGCCCAGCCCTAATTTGACTTCTATCAATTAAGAAGTTTGGTCTCTTACTCACAGATGCCCTGAAATAAACAGGTTTATAGCTTGATAACTAAATAGAATAGAATAGAATTACTTTATTGATCCCAAACTGGGAAATTGTGGCGTTACAGCAGCAGGTTATCCAAACACACAATATGAGTAAATGCTGACACCTGTTTGTTATCTGACTATCACTTAGTAACAATGGATGTTTTACTGATTGTATGTCTGAATCACGATATGGAGACTGAAACGTCAACATGCTGACTGCAGGTTAATGCAAAGTAAACCTTTACATGACCTTTGACCTTGGATAGGAGAACACCATATGGAAAAACGAGACAACCCCATGATGTACATGCAACAACTCTATTCAAAATGCTTGCGTTATTTGATGCATTACTTGAACATCTAACGAGATGTTTCTTTAGATGAAGCATATCTGATGTGGTTTGTAGTCAGCGTGTTTATAACGATGTACTTACTTTATTTCAACTTCATGTCAACAGATTGTACGGTAAACCTTGGTCTTCAAGGGTTAAAACTGTATTCAATCTCCAATAGCCTACGATTCAAATCATTCTTTATTCATTGGATGAAATAATGTCTATGATCCAAACGAATGTAACCTGAATTAAATCTAAATTACACAGAGCTAACGTTAGCTTCATTTCGCTAGCCTGCCCCCCTTAATAAAAAAAAAACTCTAAAAATGGAGAACAAGTTACAAACACACATAAACCTCGTTCTGGACCCTGTTAAGCTGCCCCCATTTAAATCAGTAACTAGATTAATCTTGTCAGAAATATCATGTTGTTACCTTTTATTACTGCTATCTCCGTTAGCTCAGATGTCTCTGTGTTGTGTGGCTATGTGGCATTGCAAAGTAAACCACTCATGGTGCATTCAGGTACGCCTCTAAAGCTCCGTGTTCCTGGGTTGGTAAGCCGTTTCTCAAAACATATGTGTATTCAAAAGCTCTAAATCATGTTAAAGTGACAACCTGGATGCTATTGAAATACCATGTGTTGATTTGTCTTTCTTTATGTAGATCTTGTTTTGATTAAGGGCGCCTTTACGTGAATTTTTAAAATAGAAAACGTTTTTTTCCCATTATTCTGAATATACATGAATGCAGGGTAACTCCTCCTCCTCTCGCTGCCAAGGAAACCAAATGCAGCTGCCCGTATGTTTATCAGACTGTTTGTGTTTATGCGTGGTTAATAATCGATGACTCCAATTTCAGCCGATTAAAAACAACAACAATAGAACATTAAATGGATAAATACAATTTTTATCTACAAACATAGTTAGGCTTGGCTATTTTAACGTTGGTCCCTGGACCTGTTGATTTAACTTTAGTGTCCTTTTGTGGTATAAATTAGCATCTGTCACTCAAAGGATGCAGAGGCCAGTTTTCGGAGAAGGAAACACTTTAACTAAGAGCTAACAAATTAAACATCTGAGGGAAGATGTCAAAATAAAGATTTACTATCGCCACAAATATGAGACATAGTCCATAAATCTGAGATTGTAAATAAAATAAAGTAAGGTTTCCTTCATAAGATTGGACATTTTCATTTGATTTTGTCTAACTTTGATTTGCTGTATAGGCCTTAATGTTTTTTTTGGTTGTTTCTTTTTTAAATAATCATCCTCAGGTCTTGGCCTATATATCTCTTTCTCATTTCCTGGGGAACTACTAGTACATGGGACCTAAATTGCCTTGTTTTAAAAACTATTTTATTAAATTATTTTACACCAGTCCATGACAAACACCATGGGTTTTATTCAAGAATAACCAGCCATCTTATCCGGATTGGATTCAACCTTCTACTTATTACAAACAGGGAAAGAAAGGATGGCCTAAAACCTATATATTCCATTAGGCACCACTGGATTCTTCTTATAAAACTACCAACCAGTGCGACTACAGCCTACTTAGGTAGAAAGACCTGATATCACTTCAAGCGGTTTCCATTTCTATCATTTAATTCTTTAAAAAGGCTTTAATTATCGCCTTTTATGTAATAATGCACAAATAAGTCTACGCCAAGTTACCAAAGACTCAAGAGGAATAAAAACTTCATGAACATGCCATAACTCTAGTTGATATTTGTGATTTTTGCCTCATGAAAGCGGATTTATTACCGGCTCGTTATGCCTGTAAGTGACATTAGGGGGCAGCGTTGTGTTTGTCGACCTATGAACTACCGTAACATCACACGAAGAAGACTACGATAGAGGGGCGAGAGTCAAACTTTACATACTTTTTTTTTTTTTTTAAGTTGAACTAGATGCCCTTGGAGTATTTTTTTTTCACAACGACAAAAGAAAGATTGATTAGCCTTATGTAGTGTGGCTTTCTGACAACACCCGAAGACAGCGCGGAGAGGTCGGTGAGTAAACATTAAAGTTAGTTACATGTTACTGAATTAGCTGTGTTAGCTCGGGGACGATAAAGTCGATAACTCCATTGATCAATCTGGAGTAACACACAACTTTAACTTTTTAAGAATGTCAGTATGTACTCTTTAACGAATTGTATGTCTATTGTACTACTCGGCCCTAGTGTCAATATTCTGTCAACTTGTATGGAATGCTTGTTTATCTTACATCATAAAAGTTGAGCTAACTTTGCTAACAATAGCAAAACACACCCACGGTGGAAGTTAACGTTACAGACGTGTTTTGTTGCTTTACATCTTTAAGTATCATCCGGACCAATTGATCAGGATACCATAACAAAATGACATTCAGTATAATCTGCTGAAAATCCTCACAACCAGGGACATAAGGGACAATAATCCATTGAAGGATTATTGTCACCTGTTAGAGATCTTTCAAAATAAAACAATCAAAATGACTAAAATATCAAAGTATCTCAATGCAATTTGAGCAGAATTTACCTCTAATTATTTAAAAAAAAAACTATACAGTAAAATCTGCTGAAGCTTCTCAGGACCACAGCCAGGGACACGAAGAACAATAATCCATTGAAAGATTATTGTTACCTGTCACATATTTTTCAAAATAAAATAATCAATATGACTAAAATATCAAAGTATCTCAATGCAATCTGAGCAGAATTTACCTTTAACTATTTAAAAAAAACTACAGTGAAATCTGCTGAAAATTCTCAGGACCAGAGACAGGGACATGAGGAACATACTTTTTTTAATTAAAGTATTATTCATATTTTACATTTCATATTCAATAACAAGTTGCTGAAATACGCAGCCGCATTCCTTCTTTTTGGGCGCTCAGAGTCCTTGTATACGAGCATCATTTTTTTAAGGGGCAGCTGGCTAGACTGGTGTTTTGCAAACGACGGCTTTCTTGACCACCGTGCCTATAGTACCACATACCTTACATTCAGACTCTGAAATAGTCATTTAACTTAACTGTAACAGCAAGTCAAATTGGATTAGCTATTGGTAACACCCTGTCCCTGTTATTTTTGCGGAGAAATGATCAGGAATCGTCGTTGAGATTGAAGTTTGACACAAACTAGCCAAGTTATGAAACCTACAATATCCATTTTTTTATTTATAAAACCTTTTGTACTTTTCTTGTGACACGTAACACTGACATGCTTTATTCTATACAGTGGGTTGATAGAGATAAAATATGAGCTGGGAATTTCAGTAATTAAAAAAAATAAATGGGCCTACGTTTTTGGATTAACCCATAATTTGTCCTGTTATTCACTGATTTGTGCCCCTTCCCTTCCCTTTTGGTTTTCTGCCCACTCACATTCCTTTTATCTCGAAGAGGAACTGATAGGAAAGATAACAGTAAAGTAGAGGTGGCCACTGACCATGGATCGTTGAAACACTTTTTTCATTTCAGTCAGTTTCTCAGAGATTATTAAAACCAGACTGACCCAATTATTAACCTTACATCTGTCTGCTTCTGACCCTTATCATTCAAAAACATTGTTTGATGAATCATTCAGAGACTGTCATGGTGGTTGTAAAGTATTAACATGGCTTAAGTATCACTTTTTTTTACTTTGCTTTTTGTGTCAATTAACACAGTGCTTCAGACACATGCACCTTTTAAATCATATCATAATATTAGTTATTTATTCTTTAACATGATAGTATATACATATTTTAACAGCTCTGTGTGTTTTTCCAGGAATGATCTGGAACAGTAAGAGGTTGTGGCGGCCTCATCAGTAGCTGTCACCACGGCGGGGGACCCTCGGACCTCCGTTTGCAGGGTGGTCATCTACCTCCAGAGGGACATGTCCGGGGACAGCTGCCTGCCCCAGCATCACACCCAGTCCCACTGCATGTCCCCAGCCCCTCCTCTGACCTGTCCAAAGACCAAGACCTCCAGCTACCGTGGAGCAGTGGGCTTGGGCAACAAGTATGTGCGGCTTAACGTGGGGGGGACCCTGTTTTACGCAACGCTGCAAGTGCTGACCAGACAGGAATCCATGCTGAGAGCCATGTTCAGCGGAAAGAAAGAAGTGTTCACTGACAAAGAAGGTGAGCCACAAGCTGACCTTTTTTTTTCTGCAATCAATGAATTAAACATGTTTTTATTATCTTTTCCACTAACATTCATGTTTTACAGACTGTGTGAAGTATTTAAAAATACTTCAAGAAGGGAAATCATGTGAAGCAAAAAGACCAATGTTGGAACTGGTGGACCATTTCTCTTATAAAGTTCTAAGATCTAAAATAAACTTCACATTTAAAACTTACTTTATATACGTACGTTTTAAGCATTTTCTGGGAAAGCTGAGAGATACCTGCCTTTTATATCCTCTAGATGTTAAGATTCTCATCATCTTCTGTTGTTATGTACAGGTTGGATCCTGATCGATCGCAGTGGGAAACACTTTGGTAGCATTCTGTGTTACCTGCGTGACAGCACGGTGACTTTACCCAAAGGTCGTCAGGCCGTCCAGGAGCTGCTGGCTGAGGCAAAGTTTTTCCTCATCGAGGGCCTGGTGGAGCTTTGTCAAAACACCCTGCAGGTCAGTTAAACACACTGACTGATGTTCAGAGTATGAAGACGAGGAGGCAGGACATGATGTAAAAAGAACAACGCAGAAATAGTGCATGAAGCAACAGAGTCTATCATGACAGTCTCTTTGCCTTTATATCATTGCCATGTGTTATTGGACATATTACGAGTATCAATGAATGGATGCTTAAGAACATACAGTATTAGCGAGCAGAAGAAAGGTTTATAAGATTATAAGCATCAAAGATCAAACATAGTAGCATAAGTGTGTATCACAATAAAATATATAATTACTTCATAAAGATGAAGGCCATAGTAAGGCTGTATAATAATGATAATAATAGTGGTGGAAAAGGTCTGATACTTTGGTTTTCTAATACCACATGGTGAACTTCACTACATGTAAAGTCCTGTGCTCGTTGACAGAATGATTAAGCTTCAGATTAAGTTCTGAAAGTGAAAGTCTTGATGTTGCAGTAAATGATCCCTGTCAGGGTTTTTTATTGTAACGTTGATTTTGTGTGTATTAATGTTACTGCTGATAGTTATAGCACTAAGCATTCAGTCAGAGCCAGCCCTGTCCACGTGGCTGGTTTATATCAATCTCAAAGATGTCTGCATATTTAGTCAGTGACATTTGTTCTTACCTAGAGAGATAATTAAAACCTGTTTATAGTCCGTTTAAATTGTGACTTTTACCCATTATAAAATGTAACCTAGAGACAGTCGGAGCATCAAAGACAATAATTATTCAAACACTTTATAACCTGTATATGTTTTCTGTGGTCATTGACAGGACAGTAAAGAGCAGCCCATGTGTGTTATACCTGTGGTCACCTCCAGTAAAGAAGAGGAGAGGCTCATCCAGTCCTCGACAAAGGTAAACGCAGACTGTTGTCTGGAAACTGTTTTCTTAGTATTA